TTTCTTTATTTATTGTTATGTGCCAGGCTTGCTGTTTTGTTCTTCAAAGCTGGGTTTCAAAAAAGTTTATGACCGGATGGTACTTTATTTCCTTACATCTGAATATAGAAATAGTTAAACATGTCCAAATTTTCAGGTTGACTATGACACTGTGCTAAACATTATTATTGCAGTGTTGTCCTATTTCCCGTGGCCGTTACGTTCTTTGTGACCTGGTGGTTTATTCAATTTGTTGATGGTTTCTTCAGCCCTCTATATGCTCAACTGGGCATAGACATATTTGGTAAGTTCATTTGTCTGTGCTTAACTTGTGTAACACCAACTACCACCCATACAATTTTCATCATTATACAGATGGGTCGAGATTGTTTTCGGCTTTCTGCCTAATTGTTGAAACTCAGAAGTATTCCCTTATAGTTTCTTATGAAGAAATTTGAAGTGAGCTGACCCTTGTCATCTTTAGCAGTAACATTTTCTCTCAGTTATACTAGTTGTTGTGCATTTTGTCGCTTTTACAAATATTTTAATTTATATTGGCACAATGAATGCTTTCGGTGTGAATCTTTCTCTACGTCTGAATCCTCTAATACACAATTTTATTTACTTTGAGGTTGTTTCAGGTGCTAAAAGTAGTTAAGTATGTTTCTTCCAATTTTGAGCTTGTTTGGGCATCTCTTTGTTCGTCTAATTTATGCTTTGAGTTGATTGTATTTTATGCAGGACTTGGATTTGTGACATCATTGGTTTTCGTATTCCTTGTCGGCGTATTTGTTTCATCGTGGTTGGGTGCGACAGTTTTCTGGGTTGGAGAATGGTTTATAAAGCGAATGCCATTTGTTAGGCATCTTTACTCAGCCTCGAAGCAAATTAGTTCCGCAATTTCCCCTGGTAATACCTTCACACAGGTCTTCTTCTAATTGCTAAAGATCTCTCTCTTTCCAATATAGATGAAGGTTTTTAACATTGAAATTATGTTTGCCGTGGGTGATAAATGGATATTTGCTAAAAGTTAGGAACCATATTCTG